TGCGGAATCACTTTTCCCACAAAAAAAAATTTTTGGCGGGAAAAATTTTTACGAAAAAAATTTACAAGGTATTTTAAAGGTTTTACAAGTTTTTACAAAATCAAATTTGTAATTTTGATGTGTGCACATTCTCATGTTTTCCTTATATATTTGTGATATCTTTTATTAAAAGAAGGGTAGTTTAGTCATTTTGTACATAAAAAAAAAGTATTTTTAAAAATGGACAGCCAAATGGGGTATTTTTGAAAAGATGTATTAAAAAATGGGCATTTTTGTGAGTCTCCCTTAAAATAATTATAAATAATTACAATTCCTCAGAAGCATGAGAGTATTATTCAATTGTTGACTATGAGATCATTGAAAAAGGCAGAGAATAAAATAATCTATACAAAATCATCATCTCACCTTGTTCGATACTGAAGAACTGATTTATTTGTAATCAAAATGTTTTGATATCAGCTGTTAAATCAGTGTTATGTTCAAAAATATAGCATTTTTTTTTGTGCAACAGAATTATTATGTTTTTCATTTTATTGTGTAATTCCGATTGACCTGTGCTGGTAAATATGCGGTATTTATTTACTTCTTTTTTTTTTGTTAATTTGATATATTATCGTAAATACATCATGGATGGATTAATTTTGAATATTTACCTTTTCATAGCTTATTATGTAAACTATGGTTTTCAAAGTTAGTAGTAACACGTGTCAACTCTATCGATCAGATGTTGATATGTGTCAAAAAAATATTGAACTTTTTTCTTTAGCGAAATAAGAAAATAATAAAAAATTATATTTACATATACTAATTTATATATCTAATTTGTTAACTTTATTTTTCTTAACGAAAAAGGAAAACTAACAATTTCTCTTTACATGTGTTATTGGTCAATTAGATTTGGCATGTGTTAATTGTTTTTTTTAAAAATCATTTAGTATGGATATAGCCAATAAACAATAACCGTTGAAGATTTAAATGACAATATAAGTTCACATTAGTTTAATTAGATAAAATTGTATTTATCATCGTAATATAGTATTTTTATTCGTCAAATGAAAACACAAAATTTTTGCAAATAATAATGAGCTTATAAGAACGAACAAATATTTGAATATTTGATAAGAATATTAGTGTAGCTATAGTTATATTTTATTTTAAGAATTTTAACGCATGTAGTTATAATTATAAACACAAAATATTTGGAAGAATGGCTTATATGATTGAATTTTTGATTACTTAATGAGAATGTTAATATATATTTTTAATGATTTATTTGTTAATTAATACTCATTTAAAATTAGTTTGCCATCAGGTAAAGCTAACTTATGAGATTACGTTATATAGAAAAACTATATTTTAAACAATGTTTGTTTTCCATAATTTTTATGGATTTCTATTTTTAATTAAATTTTTTGTTATTTGTTAATTATATTTAATATTAACTAAGATATAGATTTGATATGATATACATACGATTTGATATAAAATTATTATTATCAGTTTATCCATTAAGATGAACTATGAAGACTTAAAATCAAGTTTATTATGATTCTATAAATAGTTAAATTATATTGCAAAATGGATTATGTAAGATTGAATTTTTTTTTTCCTTAGCAAAATTTTATTTTTGCTTAGCAAAATTTTCTTAGCAAAAAAAAATAATAATTTATTTTTTAAAAATACTAAGTTAAATATATAAAAAGTGTGTCGGTTACTATTTAGGATTTAAATATCACCAATAGGAAAGAGTGTGTAGAATTAAAATTCAGTTTATTACGATGAAATAAATAGTTAAAATGTATAACAAAATGGAATGTGTAAAATATTAGGAAAAGTGTATGAAATATTATTGATTTTGCTCTTTTTCATTAAATATTAGGAAACGTGTATGAGTTACTATATATTATTCAAAATTTAAATATCATCGATAAAAATTATATTTATATATTACACCAGTCTATTTAGGCGGACCTTATCTACTATCTGTATATAACACATAAATATTGGCTATGCGTGATTTATGATGATATTTGTATGTTAGTCTTAGAGAAATTTGCTTACTCACATGAATTTTGAGATTATTGTTGATTTTGCTCCTTTTCACGAATTTCTTTTGAAAATCCGATTTTTTACTAAAATTTTACGGATTTAGTATTTTTTAACATTTAAAAATGTAAGTATTTACGTTTTTTTTTTGTAAAAATACGTACTTTACACCAAATACTAAACCTTAAGAACAAATGAAACCGACTAAACCCAAACATTACGGAAAAAAACACATGTTAAATCACATTTTTATAGCATGAAAAATGGCGAATCCACAAACTATTTAAAAAATGACAAAATCCACAAATGCCATTAAAAAAGTAGCAGATCCGTAATTGATTCCATGAATATATATATTTTTTTCAACATGAATTCTTATTTCCATGGATATGTGAGGATAGAGAGTCGTTAAAAACTTGAATGCATGCAACGCTACTTCCACATTTTATAAGCTTTCGATATTTTTGTGTTTCTTGTCTTGAGAAGTCGAGCTTTCTGCAATCATATATATAAAAAGAGGTTATCTCTCTCCATCCTTCCGCCAGATCAGCATTTTTGGCTCTTCTGGAGATGACACATCAGCTTTTAATCCGTCCAATCAAAACATGTAATTAATACACATCA